ATAGGGTTTTGTAGGTTTGTGGTTCAACCACACTGACACGTTGTTTTCTTCACAAATTGCTTATGCGATTTGGGGGAGGGGTTAAACTTCTGGAGGCTTCTTACGTGTGAATGTGAAAAAAGTACGTTTTGCCATGTGTTATACGTTTCAACCTTTAGTTTAAAGAAAAGAATTTAAGTGCTTTAATTTATTCAACGTGATTGTTGGTTCAATAGTGGTTAAAATATCGTTCAACAAAACTATTAAAGTTTAACGTGGCTCTTAAACACATTGATTAATTAATATTTATTACATGCTCTAAATTATTATAAAAACAAAATTAGATGGCTTTCATGCTTCTAATATGATAATTTGGACGAGTTTCAGTATAGAAAAATAATTTGAGTTAGTTTTATAACGTGTAATTTCGATTATATAGCACGTTAGATTTTACTTCTAATGATAAAGAAAACGACTTTTTGAAATAAAATATTAGAGTTGAAATAATAATAAATAAATGAGTAGTATGTGGAAGCTTTAAATATCTTCTCGGAGAAATTCACAACGTGACATATTAGTTTATTTCACTTAAAAATTGCATTTTTTTTTTTAAATCTCATGATGTAGAACAATAAGTCTAAAGTATGTTACATCAACATGAAGAATATTCAATGATAAAAATACTATCAGTCTTTTCAATTTTTGACTGAAGAATATTTTTCATGGGAATTTCTTGAGAATTCAATAATTTGAACAAGTATTTGAAGAAGTAGGTTATACATACCTTTTAAACGTTAATTCTTTGAATTTTAAATATTTCAAATTCTTCGTTTTTGAAAGTATGTGATTTCTTCTATTGCCATCTTTAGTTTGAGTGGATAGAAACACCATTTTATCTGCCCTAACGTTTGACAATGGTTTTGGGCAAACTTGACATAACTAATGATTTTAGGTGATATATTAAAGAAGGATTAAAATCCAAGTTTTATATTTAAATGAACTAAAATTGAAATTTCATATGTATTTAGAAAGATGAAAATTATATTTTACTGTATTAATTTATTTGACCTTTTAAAATTAAAATGAGGGATTGAATTGTTAGATATATAACATCTCTTTTTTGCTTAAGTGAAAAAATCTCACTAAAATCTTAGTTAATTTTAATATATTTTCACTTAAGAAAGAGGAGATTCACTCAACCAAAAATTTTTAGATTTATTACTTGAGTGAGAAATCTTATTTCAAAATATGAAATTTAGAAATATAATATAATTAATTTTATGTATTAAATATGTATATAATGTTCTTCTATTATATATTTAATCATTAAATAAGGGGTTGAATAATATTATATACAATAAAAAATATTTTATTATAATATCAGAATTATTAGGTATCTCATTATATCACAATGTGTGTATATATATATTGGTTTCAGAACGAGATATTCTAACTTTTCTAGTTAAAAATATAATTTGTATATATTTAACATTCAATTCTTATATATGTTTCATAATTTCCATGAACCGTGTATGAGTGTCTGTGCAATAATTCAGCATTCATTACATCATGTCAACTCAATTGAATTTCCATTTTGTAAAAATATTACAAAATTTGTAACAACTATTAATTGAAATACAAACAAAATTTGTAACCTCTTTATTGTTGTATTTTCTTTATCATTTTTGTTTTAATTTCTATTTTATTCTGAAAACAATTTTTATTTATCTATTTTCTGCTAAATTTTTGAAATTAGTTTAAGAAAATGGTAATTTTTGCAATTGAAAATTGAAAATTAAAAGTCAGAAATCAAAGAACAATAATTATTATTGCTGCAATTGCTGAAAACATTTAATACGACAATGAATGCGCCGATGTCATTCTTAAAGGCATTGAAAAATATCTGAATTAATATTTTACCGTGTTCTTGCGAGAAATTTCGATAAGAGAGACACTATGAATTAAGCTGAAAAATTTAAGTATACTTCTTCTTTCTCAAAGTTCTTTCACACTTAACACAAATAATTATATATATAATTTTAAATTATGAATAAAAATAGAGATTTATTTTATTATTATTTATTTTTTATATATTTTGACGTTCTTTTTATCTTTTTATGCAATTTATGCGATTCGATAGAGATCTAGAAGAATAAGGTGCAAACATAACTTTATTTTGTGATAACAACGAAATGGCTTAAGCATATTGATTAGTACTCAGATTATAATTATGTGTGTGTAAAAAAATCAATTAAAAAAATAAAATAAATATTAACAGATTCTATAACTGTTGTTTAGACATATTTAACTGAAATTTATTAAACTGTTTCATTAGCTTAAATATTTAGTAAAAGTACCATATAAAAAAATTATACATTATATATTATGAAAATATTTGTTAAGTATAGTTTTTAGTTTTTTTGGTTACTTTTGACTTTTATTTCTTTAGTTCAAAGGTAAAATATTTAATTAGAAATAAAAAATATATAATACAATATTTAAAATAAATAATATAAACTAAAAAATATTATAAAAACATTGGCTGGATAAGATAAAAAATATTAATATATTGACTATAATAAAATATTGAGATTTTGAGTGTATAAGATAAAAATAATATTAATATAAATTGAGATAGAATTATAAATGGATGAAGTAAATAAGTTCGTTTAGAAATATTTTTTTTTAGTCAAATAATTAATTATTTTACTATAATAGTTAGCAGTACACATTTAAAACCATTAGAATTGTACTTCCTTTATTTTCTTATCTGTAAAATGTTCAATTTATTTATTTATCATATTAATTATATAATTACAATGACTATTTTATCATAGCTTTTTTTTCATTATCTTTTAATTTATTTTATTAGACGGTTATTATAGAGGGAAAAAACGAGAAAAAAAATGTTATAAAATAAGAGACTAGAGAGAAATTATTGATTAAATATAAAAAAAAACAGAAAATATCACAAAATTATAGAAAAATATATAATACAATGTAATAAATATTATTAATAAAAATAAAAAAGTTTAACATATAATTTTTTTTTTGAAATATATTTTAACAAAGTTTAGATTTGTTTTTTATTATTTTTAAAAATAGTTTTCAATTTTAAATTTTTAAAAATAAAAAAAATTGTTTAATATCAATAATTTCATCAATAATTATATTCAGTCACTCATTTACATAATTATAAAGTTATCATAATTATTTTTTAATTTAATTTTTAATGCTATGTTTTTTAAATAATTTTAAAAAATAAAATTATAAAATAAATGTTTTTTAATTAATTTTTAAAAATAGTTTTTCAAAATTAAATTTTAAAACTGTTTTTAAATTAAAAAATAAAACCAAATCAAACTATCCAACTAGTTTTTTAACTTTTAAAAACTAATGAAATTAAAACTATTTTTAAAACCAATGAATAAACAAATCTAATATTCTATTTTTCATTAATTTAAATTAAATAATTCTTATGTCTTGATTAATTAATTCCCCTAAAAAGATACATTCATTAAATTGTAAAGTTGAAATTGAAAAGAAACATTAAATTATCTGTTAATATTGTAAAGCAACAAGTGACATTAATTAAAAAAAATGAAAATTTGTCAACATTCACACATAGAATTCACGTACACACACGCATACATACACACACACACACATATATATATATATATATATATATATATATATATATATATATATATATATTCAAATATAATTAATGATTATATTAGTTAAAAAATTATTTAATTCATAACTATACTTTTTTTTCATAAGTGAAAAATGTTTTATCATAACAATGGATGTAATTAATAATAAGTAATTTTAAAATATATAAACCAGTTCATCCACCGATTTTCTCTTTCATTATGCTTTTTTACTGGTACAGAAACTACTAAATATATATTTTTTTTATAACCATGAAGTTGGTATGAAGCAGTAAGTGATTAAATCCCTATTGAAAAATCTGATTAACCATATAGTTAATAGAGTTTAAGTTTTCAAAGACATTTATTCTATTCATAAAATTTTAATTAAGATAATAGAGTTTAGTATTAACGAACAATGTGTTATTGTAATTTCCTTTTCACTTTTTGAATCATGCAAACTGTTCTGGTTTAAAAGAATAGGAGGAAGAGTAAATAGTAATAAATAATGTTAAATGAGAGTGTTATAGTTTGTGAAGCATACAACGACTATTACTTGAGTATGCATCAATAGTCCAGTTTGTCCAAAGTTGAGAACTGTCACATTTACTGTATATTGGTGGAGATTGTTAATGCTACTGTTCCTTCTTGTAAAGGATCCCTCTCTCTCTCCCTCTGTTTCTCAAACTACCATGTGTAAGAGAAGTAGTTGTTTACTTCATATTTCATTCAACACCTAAAATATTCTCCTATGTAGAATCTCCACAACACGAGATTAGAAAAGAAAAAAAAAATAAAATAGAAAGAAAAACATAATGGTACCTTATTTACACAGAACCATAAACTCACCTTCACCACTACCCTTCACTACAACAGAAACAAACAAACACCTTCCTTCTCTTTCTCTATTTCTCCAACACATAAAAGCACACACTACACCACCCACTCATTATTCTAACCTACTTTTCTGAGCTAATCCTTCACTCCACCAACACCAACACCAACGTCAACCGTTCCTAGTCACACCACCGTTCTCTAAACTAAACTAAACTCCTTTGTTGCTTGTGTTTCGTGTTTGTTCTTCTTTTGTCTGCATTTGTCCCTCTTGATTTGAGCCACAACACACCCTTTTCATAGATATTAATATTAAAATACCAACAAAAAGAGGGTGGTGGGAGAAGAAAAGTGGCAAGGCTTGCACTGTACCATTACCAAAGCCACTTTTTGTCTCTTGAATTTTTTTTTTTTTGAACTTTTTCCTTTTTGTTTTTCATTGACTTGTTGATTCAAGAGGGGTCTTCTTTATCCTTTCCCTTGCTGAACATATCATGGTTTCTGTATAGTTCTCAGAAATTCAACCCCATCATGGATCTTGAGTCTGTGATCCATAGGAACACAATTAAGGTAAGGCCAAGGCTTAAAAAACCTGTGTGTGATGTGCCATAACATACTACTGCAGAATAAGAAATAGGTTTCTCATCTTTGGTTTGTGTATGATTATCACAATCATCATGGTCGTGGTGATGTGGTATATTGCAGGAAGAATCGTGGAAGACAGTGTTAACTTTGGCTTATCAAAGCTTGGGGGTTGTGTATGGAGACTTGAGCACTTCCCCACTTTACGTTTACAAAAGCACTTTTGCTGAGGATATTCAGCATTCAGATACCAATGAAGAAATCTACGGGGTTTTGTCTTTTGTGTTCTGGACGCTCACACTGATTCCATTGCTCAAATATGTGTTCATTGTGCTGAGAGCTGATGACAATGGTGAGGGTGGGACCTTTGCCCTCTACTCCTTGCTCTGCCGCCACGCCCGGGTTAGCTTGTTGCCTAACACTCAGCTTGCGGATGAGGACTTAACCGAGTACACCATAGATAATGGAACTGTTCCCATCAATAAGAAAAATGTTGGGTTGGGGTTGAAGAACATGTTGGAGAAACACAGGGTGCTGCAAAGGGTACTGCTTGTTCTGGCCTTGATAGGAACTTGCATGGTTATTGGGGATGGTGTGCTCACACCAGCAATTTCTGGTACTTGTGTTATTAATATTGTGTGAATTTGGGTGCAAGCAAGGTTTTAAATTAAGGTCTCTGTTTTATACACTTGATATTGCAAGAAATTGCTGCTAAATGCAGCAATTGCGGCCACAAAAATACAAAATCTTGACATTATGGCTGAAATTGCAGTAACAAACCGTTTTTTAAAACCTTGGTTGTATGTCGTGTACATATATTGAGTCCTCCTGGTAACTAACTCACTTTTGTGTGATTTTTGGTCATTGTGCAGTTTTTTCTGCTGTGTCAGGTTTGGAGCTTTCCATGTCTAAAGAACAGCACAGATGTAAGTTTGTTTATAAACACAAAAAACTAATAGTTCTGTTCACAAATTCTGTTGCCCTTTTATTCCTCTTCTTCTATTTTCTTCTCCATAAACCTTTAGGGGAGTATGGCACTCGCAGAAATCTAAAGATTTTGATACAAAAGTTTTTTGGGTCAATAGTTAAGTGAGTTTAACAAGCCAAAAGAAGAAGGGAGGAAGAGAAAGAGTTTCTCAGTAACCGTATTAAAATCCTTAAATCTTATAATTTCTCAACTTTTAATGCAGTACTAGTAATCTATACTTTGGGTTCTAAGGAAGGGTTATTTACAGCTAAGCAACAAATCTTCTGGGATAATTGGATTCTCTTGGTGAAAGTTGTCTTTTTTTTCCTATTTTTTAAATATGCAATAAGATTCTTTATTCAGTCACCAATTTCTTTACTGCAGATACTATATATCTAGCTTACAATTGCAGATAACACTATGGTAAAATGTTTTGAATTTGTTCCCAAGAATTTAGTTTCGATGAGTAGGTTTCAAATCGGTTGGTATCTTGAACAAATCAATCTCGGGAATATGTTCCCACAATAATCTAGAAATTTAGAATAATTCTCTTTTTCTGTACTATTTTGTAATATTTGATACTGCAGTTTCTTAGCTGGCTGTGCATTCCCTTAGGACGGTAGGATTTTTGCCTCCCCCAATGGCATATATGCTGTGAAGATATTAGTTAATAGTGAAAGGATTCTACTTGGCATCACAATAGATTTGTTTAATGAGTGGATAGGATCAAATTTGAGCCATCACAACCTCGAATTAGTGGACAAAAAGGGAGAACCAAAAGACAAGAGCATGCACAGTTGTAGGTCCTCATAAATACAGATCAGAGGAAATTTCTTTGCTAGATCAAGGACAAGTCATTGTCTTGCTAAAACTTCTATTTGAATACGTAATTTCACTAAATTGTTTAGAATAAAAATGAAAAGTACACATGAAAAGTATGGTTATAAGATATGTAAAGCCTAACCCCACTAGTCAGAGGATTGTATAAAATAATAGTTCCCTTGTAAAGTTGGACTTTCAAGAGGTTATGTTATGAAGCATTATGGTTTGGATGAGACTTCAATAAATCCCTGTGGAATAATTTAGAATAGTTGGCTGATGGTGTCTGATTGGATGCAAAATTAGGTAAAGTCAGTGGCCACTATTAGACCAGTCACGAACAATGTCTGCAATTCCACTATTGGTAATAAATAAAGATTATATACGGTGCCCCAATTAAATCTCGACCTAATTCAGTCAACTTCAAAGAGCTGAAGCTGTTGAGATTCCAGAATGAAGTCATCCTAATCTTACTTTTTAATCTTGACATCACTTTTGTCTCCTTGGATTATTTGACATCTGTATCATATTCTAGTGTTCAATAAAAAAATCATTTGAAGCACTAAAATAACAACCTTAGTAACTAGTATTTTTTGTGCACCTCAATTACTGGATTTCCATTGTCGTCCGTAATTGTCATAAAATGTTTATTGGCTTATCTCACAAGTAATCATTTTTCTAGAGGGTGGTAATAAACTTGGCTCCTCTAATGTGTTCAGATATACTAATTATTTACCAGGAAAATTACCATTTGCAAGTTAATTAATATGTTTTTGATATACTAATCAGTCTCAATTCTAAGCAATCATAGACTAATAGTGATTTTATGGCTAGCGTTATGTTTATTTTTAAACATAGAACCTCATACAAACTACTCAAATCCCTTGTCACTATATTGGTTGTATTTTGCCTTTTACTTCCAGTATTACAGTGGAGCTAATTGTTGGTTGATGGTTATGCAGATGTGGAGGTTCCAGTGGCTTGTATAATACTGGTATTTTTGTTTGCCCTTCAACATTATGGCACTCACCGTGTGGGATGTCTCTTTGCACCTGTTGTCTTGACCTGGCTACTATGCATCAGTGCCATTGGTATTTATAACATCTTCCATTGGAATCCACATGTCTATCAAGCTCTCTCCCCATATTACATGTTCAAATTTCTGAAAAAGACTCAAAAGGGAGGATGGATGTCCTTGGGTGGAATTCTACTGTGTATAACTGGTATGGAGCAAATTGTGTACTAAACTGCTGTCTGCTTGATATATGATCTATCTTTCTCTGATATTGTAATCTTTGTGTTCCAGGTTCTGAAGCCATGTATGCTGATTTAGGACACTTTTCACAATTGTCAATTAAGGTACACGAATGTTGCATTCATGACTGAAGATATACATATCAGCACCATTATGTCATTGATCTTTACTTACATAGTTTGACCACTGCACCATAATGCACAAAGCACATTCATCTTGTGTTATGTTTGTTGGTAACAGCATCCAATACTTGAACCTTTCGGTAATCTTTCTACTAGTTTTCATTTTAGTTTTTATTTCATATAGAAAGGAATTCCACTGCATTATGCACAACTAATTAAGTTGGACTTCTTTTTTAATAATTGAGAACTGAGTTTCAATGCATATAGATGCATCATTCATGGTTATCATGCTTTTGGTGGATGGTTACTGATTAGAAGCCAAGCCAATAAATGATTAATAATTTTAGCAAAAAATCATTTACCTGCAGATTGCATTCACCTTTTTGGTCTACCCTTCCTTAATCCTAGCATATATGGGGCAAGCTGCATATCTTTCTAGACATCATTCCCTTGAAAGTGACTATCGAATCGGGTTCTATGTGTCAGTACCTGGTAAGTTATTTGTGATCTTCTCTATAAGCACATATTCAAAGAAAGACTGGTGTTTAATTTGCTCTTAGCTTACTTTTCTTGTCCTTCTTTTCAGTAAAACTTAGATGGCCCGTTCTTGCAATAGCCATACTTCAAGCAGTGGTGGGAAGTCAAGCTGTCATCACAGGGACTTTCTCAATAATCAAACAATGTTCTGCTTTAGGATGTTTTCCCAAAGTTAAAATCATTCACACATCATCCAAGATGCATGGCCAGATTTACATTCCTGAGATCAACTGGAGTTTGATGCTGCTTTGCCTGGCTATTACAGTTGGATTTAGAGATACTAAACGCATGGGAAATGCAGCAGGTACTCTACGACTCCATGATATAGCTTCATGATGCCTCTGAATATTATAACTTGAATTTGATCATGATTGAATTATTTCTAAATTATCTTGATTAAATTTCAAATATTTTAAGAGTAAATAGTACATGTGCTTACACTGTCATTGTATCACAAATTGCTATGTATCATAAGTTTATTGACTTTTATAGTAATTACCTTAAAAATCATACTAATTATGACTTCTGATTGATTGACGGTGTAAATTTGTCTACAATGACAGATCATAGAAATTAAACTCTATTCTTACACAATTTTTTTATTTTGTTTGCTTTTACAGGCTTGGCTGTCATAACTGTCATGCTGGTGACCACTTGCTTAATGTCTCTAGTAATAGTCTTGTGTTGGCACAAAAGCATTATGCTAGCAATTTGCTTTATATTGTTCTTTGGATCCATTGAAGCACTCTATTTCTCAGCATCCCTGATCAAGTTCCTTGAGGGGGCATGGGTTCCCATTGCCCTCTCCCTCATCTTTCTCATTGCCATGTATGTCTGGCACTATGGCACACTAAAGAAGTATGAGTTTGATGTTCAAAACAAGGTTCCAATCAATTGGCTACTCAGTTTAGGCCCCAGTCTAGGCATTGTCAGGGTCAAGGGAATTGGTCTCATACACACTGAGCTTGTATCTGGGATCCCAGCTATTTTCTCCCACTTTGTTACCAATCTCCCTGCCTTCCACCAAGTTGTTATCTTCCTTTGCATCAAGTCTGTCCAGGTACCACATGTCAGACCTGAAGAAAGGTTCTTGGTGGGTAGAGTTGGCCCAAAGGAGTATAGGCTTTACAGGTGCATAGCCCGGTATGGCTACCGTGACATTCACAAGGATGACATGGAGTTTGAGAAGGATCTTGTATGCAGCATAGCAGAATTCATCAGATCAGACACCTCAGAATATGGCCTAGGATTTGGAAGTTTTGAAGAAGACACAAAGATGACAGTTGTTGGGACTTCAGCATCAAACTTAGAGGGTTCAATAAGGCTGTCTGAAGATGATCAACAACAAGATACTCAAATGGAAGGCCCCTCAGAGCTGATGGAGGTTAATCCTTCTCCTGAAAAACTGAGGAAGAGAGTGAGGTTTGTTGTGCCAGACAGTCCACAGATTGATTTTGAAGTAAGAGAGGAGTTGCTTGAGCTAATGGAAGCAAAAGAGGCTGGAATGGCATTCATATTGAGTCACTCTTATGTTAGAGCAAAAAGTGGATCAAGCTGGTTGAAAAAAGTTGTTATCAACTACGGATATGATTTCTTAAGGAGAAACTCCAGAGGACCAACATATGCTTTAAGTATACCTCATGCATCTACCTTAGAGGTAGGCATGATCTACCATGTATGAGTGAGTTTTGGCTATAGTAGTTCTTATATATCTAGTTTAGTTTTGTAACTAGTTATATTATATGGTAGGTCAACCTTACACAGTAAAGATAAATGGTGGCATTTTGTATAGTGACACCCTTCTCCAATCTTCTAGACAAGTGCTGCCGACCTGTCATATTTACTTTTTTTTTTTTTTCTGTAATTTTCTTGTACATAAATAAGCAGTCTGTAGGGACTAGTTCCCCCAGTGTCTTGTAGGCTCTTTCTTGTCTTTTTTGTTCAAGCATGAATCTGAAGTATAGATCATGTTCAAGATTTCAACAGATACTGTAATGTGTCTTTTGAATCAAAAGAAGAGTTAATATCTTTGATAGTTGGTAGGGTGTGGCTCCAAATATGCACATTTTTGTCTTACAAGTTGTTTTTAGCTTTCATATATTTTAATAATAGTTCTTCTTACTAATTAATAACGCGGGTAACGAATGCAAATACATCTGATAGGGCTTTCAACATTTTCTTTTCTAAATTCTAAAGAAAAGAAAGAGAACTCTACGAATCCTAAAGAAATTTGGGAATCTTAAGAAAGATGATGTTCTTCGTTTCTTAAGTTTTTCTCTTTATCTTTTTCTTTGTTAACTTATTTTCTTTGAAAACTTTTGCTTTGTCTGTGCTCTTCTTATTTATTATTCTTTTGATAAATACACCTTCTTCATTCCTATTTTAATTCTGATGCTTATTGTCTCACCAAATGGATCGATTAATTACTCCTTTAGATGTTCATCATCAATGATTTTGTAGTGAACTCGTGTCTATGGTTTAAAAAGTCGTGTAAATATCCCAATAACCTTTAATTTCATAATTAAAGTATTACTCTCTCTTAAAAAGTTTTTATATTTCTCAATATTTTAAAAATAAACAAATTAAATATCAAATGTTAAAAAAAGAATCATTAAATCGGTCTCAAACATTCGTTTATTTGGAAAGAAAATATTAAAAAAAAAATCATAGTCGAGGACAAGAAAAATATTACTTTTTATAAACCTAAATATTTTATCTCTAGTAATTATACAGTTAATTTATTTATTATTTTTAGAAATAATAATTAATATTTCTTTTCTTGATTGTTTAAAAAACATTATACGATATATGTCAATAAAGAAATGTTATGTAAATTAACTAAAAAAAATTCTTTAACTTGTGATCAATCCACAAAAACTTCAGAAAATGTGAGAATAATTTATTATCTAAATATTTCAGGACTACAAATATTTAGGGCATACGCAGCAATGGAGTTTTCTAATTCTGCATGTGCAGACATTACAGCACTAAAAATTCATTCAAAATGATGATGAAACACCAAAAGACTTCACTGTCATGATTGGTATTAGTTACAAGAAGCGTAACTTGGACGATACTTGACTAAGAAAAGAAATGGAGTTTCTATTTTGACCACCAAAGACAACAAAATCAAAAGAATGAAAATCAGATTCGAAGAGCTTGGAAAAGAAAATTCCTACAATGACAGCATGCATAATAATCAAAAGCACGAACTTGTTCTTAGTATTGAGTATGAAATCTAAATAACCAAAGAAGCACATAGCAAGGTGACATGTATGAAATCAAGCAAGAAAAAGAGAGCATGCGAATTGAAAAGAGAAAAAAGAAAAAAAAAAAAAAAAAGGGAAGTTATCTCTTGCTTTGCTGTTTGTGATTAGTTTGATGGAACTCTCTTTATCAGTCACAATATTCAGTATTGGATCCATAACTTTGCCTTTATTTTGTTTGTAGACTTACACTTATCGTCTAGGAATAATAATATAGCTTAGCAGCAACGCAATTAGTTAGACATGAAAAGAAATAAATTAAGGAATTTGTAATAGTTTATGCATTGATTTAAGACAAATTATAATTTTTTATATGCCATGTGCATGGTTTGAAATCACCTTGAGGGAACATTCATAAACATTGAAGTTTGAACCATGATCGTGATATATCAGATCTCATCAAAGCCTGAGTCATTGATCTATTGTAATCTTAACAACAAACAAAAAACATTAGTCATCATCATCTTATCATATGATAGGTTTATATGTTAACAGATTTTATCATATGACAGTTTCATAATCTGTAAAATTTACAAGAGACATGGATGATTAACATGTGATTATTTAATCTTAATGAATAGTTTGCATATACATTAAATATTTGAACCAAATTATATTTCATAAAAGAAAAAATGGTATGTGGAGACTTAGTTGAAGGCTTTTCCTTGGGAGTGGAGCCAAAGTTGAAATGGAAAACTTATACTAAAAACGCAAGCTTTGTGGAACCACCTTGTCGAGTATGGTTATAAAGACACGACAATCAAAAACACAAATCCATATGATTCCATCTCAACATCAGTTCTAAATTCTGTCTCCTGTGCCTCTCTGCCATGTCTCTGTCACTACTATAAGTCTTGTTTGTTTCTCCATCTTCTTAATCCTCACTTTTTCTGAAAAGGGTGGGGACTCATTTCGTTTCATGTGAAGAATAGTTGAGGATTGCCCCGTGGTTGGTTTCTCTTCTCAAAATACAAACCCTACTATATTAGACATCCATTATGTGTCATGTGTGAGCATTTCACATTTGGAGTCTCTTAACTGAAGCAAGGGAACAATGAGTAGGAGTTGTTCTGTGCAGCTTTTTGCTTTTGTACTTGTGCTTTGTCTCTTCTCTCCAACTTCAGCCACACCACCTCCTGCTAGTGAGTGCAACAAGCTCTTTAGTCTAAACCATGCCCTTCTAATGTTAAAATTTTCCTCCCATTAGAGTTTTCTTGCTCATGAGTTAAATTTCATGTGACATGCAGAAGTTGTTACTGGGGTTGTTTCCAATGTGGTTTCTGCTCTTCTTAAATGGCTATGGTCACTAAGTGTAAAGTCCACAACAAAACCTGGTAGAGGTAGAGATTTACGTTACTTTCTCATCTTCTTAAAATATAGGCTTGTTTGGACGAATTTCTATAAAGTTCCTATTATGAGAAAGAAACAAGAAAAAAAACTGAAATTAATTTTTTCATATGTAGTAGTAAAGTTATTGAAACTCTCATGTAATTTTCTATACTTTTATTGTTAATCTATACATGTTAATTTTATGAAAAGATTAATTTCAGTTTCTTCTTCTCTCTGTAAAAGGATTTGTGGAAAAGCTCGTCCAAATAGGTTTTATGCATTATCAGTGTAAAAAGTTTTGGTGCATGTGTAGTTTAACATTTAAAACCTTGAATCCATAATTCGGATGTGAATAAATGGAAGTTATTCAAAGTAGTTTCAGTTTGACGTGAATAGATTAGCATTTAACTTGATCTGTCGTGAAATCAAACATACACTTACTAGAATCATCATCGTTATATGATTTTTAGAAATTTTTTGTAAAAGTCAATAAACTTAGTATATATATAATTTTACGTTGTGATGCATACACTACTTACTTGTATTTTCAAAGTGCTAAAATGTTGGTCTTTCACAATGAGGAATCATTTCTCAGTACAACACAGTCGTTCCATGGTTAAATTTGAGAGTGACTACAATGTGGAAACAATCTTTGATGGAAGTAAGCTTGGAATTGAGCCACACTCGGTGAAAATATCTCCAAATGGTGAATTTCTTGTACTGGATTCTGAGAACAGTAACATCTACAAGATCTCTGGTTCAATGTCCCGACGTAAGCTTTCTTTGCTGAAATCGTCTAAGCTTCATTATATATTTTTTTTAAAATACATTCTTCTTTGGTTTTTCTTGGTTGGCTTATAGAAGATTCAAGTACTTTGGCTTTGTTGCTTTACTTTGCTTCATTATTCCAAAATATTAGATTCAAAATTTAGCCATTGTCCTTTAAGAATGCGTGTTGTTTGAGTTTTTTTCTTGTGCATAGACTTTGCTTCATTCCCGGGACATCTTTTGGTTGTACTAAGCTGTTATAAAGATTCTTAATGAACTTTTGTTAAGCAGAAGTCTCCACTCACATACCTTTAGTCACCCAAAAAAAAAAAGTATAATATGCCTGCATGATATTTTTGCATTCTTTTACTTTCAAATGAATAAAAAAGATCTACAGAATAAAAAAGTACAAATGTTAAAACATAGAACTCCAATTTAGCTTCTTTACCCCACTATAGAACTCCTTTACCTTTTTGTTGGTTCTTCATTCTTCATAATAAGTAAAGGTCACATCCATTATAAACAAACATACAGTGATTATTGGCTTCTGAATTAGACTTGTTTCAGCTTGTTGACATATATAGACTTTCTCAGTATGCGACTGAGTACTTAATCTTTGGAGTGTGTGACAGTTAATAGGACCACATAAAACACTGCAAACTATAGCCTCATTGATATTTAACAAGTAACTTGAGCTTCTTTCAAAATAAGCCAAACTCTAGCTTGTAAAAATTTAAGTCTAGTTGATTGAAATCCAAAAGAAATTTTACTCTCTTTATTGGTGATATATTATAGCTAATTTATATACATAATCCTAATAGATTTTTATTGTGTTTGATTTTGCCGCAATGAATGGGTGAACCACAGATAGCAGACCCAAATTGCTTGCTGGATCTTCTGAAGGGTATATTGGACACATAGATGGTAGGCCTAGAGAAGCTAGAATGAACCACCCTAAAGGGCTTACAGTGGATGACAGGGGGAATATTTACATAGCAGACACATTGAATATGGCCATCAGAAAAATCAGTGATGAAGGTATTTATATACATCTTGGACTCTCAACCTGCTTAAGAATGAGATGAGTGAACCAATATGCTGAAATTCTCAAAACAGAAGACAATCTATGTTCACATAGTTTTAATAATATCCTTAACCTCCTTGTTTCCCTCTCCTAATGGATCCCATCTTTCGATTCTGTCTTCAATGCGAGAAATTATTGTATGGTTCATGACTATATAATCCTCCCAACTACTGTTTATATGGCATAATATTAACTTTTTCTTAATTTGAAAAACATAGTTGTGTATCACAGGAAGATTGTCCAGTACATCTTCCGAACCATATGTCTCAAGCTAGAGATTACTGTGTTACAGGACTATGTGATTCCGACCAATTTTCATGTGACTTGACTTTCTTAATATCCTTAACTCTATGATATGCCTTTTGTGCAGGGGTTACCACTATTGCAGGTGGAAAATGGGGCCATGCAGGGGGGCATGTTGATGGTCCAAGTGAGGATGCTAAGTTTTCAAATGATTTTGATGTAGTTTATGTTGGTAGTAGCTGCTCTCTTTTGGTGGTGGATAGAGGAAACCATGCAATTCGAGAGATCCAACTCCATCAAGATGACTGCACTACTTATGACGACTATGACAACAGTTTCAGCTTAGGTATGATTCCCTGTAATATAATCTCCTCTATGTATCTTTAAACTTTTACAATTTTAGAGCATGTTGATCTTCAAAGTTATGCATTAACATTATAGGAATAGCCGTGCTTATTGCTGCTGGATTCTTTGGCTATATGTTAGCATTGCTGCAGTGGAGGGTGAGGGCTATGTTTTCTTCTCCGGCTGTAAGTAGCTCTGTTAATTATTTACTTCTATAGCATTGTTTCCTGAACCAATGAATCAAGTTTGAAAACATAACTTTCTAATCAACATTTGATTTTGAGGTACAAATTTCTTCCTTGGTCTTAGACTCCTAGTTAAGTCTTAAATAACCACTTCTATTCGAAAGTTCAATATGTTTTCTGTTTTCTTGATCACAGAACAGAACATATGTTTCTTAAACACCTTATAGTATAAGAATAAATAGGTTGCGATACACTTATGATCCTTATCTAGTTTTTCTTATGTCAGTTCGATTCTTTGAAAATCATACTAAGAATTTTGATTGGTTGATGATGTAAAATTTAAACTCATTATAAACTGTGAAATATCATAATCTTATTTCATTTTCAGGATCCAAGAGCCCCTTCAAGGAGCAAAGGAGCACCATTTGCTGCACAGCAAATGCAAAGGCCTCCCCCTCCTGCTACAACTAAGTCAGTCAGGCCTCCTTTGATTCCACATGAAGATGAATTTGAGAAACAAGATGAGGGCTTCTTTGTTTCTCTTGGAAGGCTATTCCTAAACTCTGGCTCATGCATGAGTGAAATTTTGGGTGGCTTGTTCACAGGATCCAAAAGGAAACCACTGCAGTATCATCAGTATCAGGAACAGTATCAGTATACCAACAGACATCCCAATACATGGCCCATGCAAGAGAGTTTTGTCATTCCTGATGAAGATGAACCTCCTTCTATAGAAACTAGAACACCAACACCTAGGGAAACCTACCCTATCATGACAAAAGAGCTGGAAAAACCACCGCACTTCAAGCCAACTAGGGGTTACCTGAACAACAGGTGGGAGGGTGGCGATTATGAAGAACATCAACAACTTCAACAACATCATCAACAACAGCATCCCAAGTTGCAACACCAGCAGCACCAACAGGTCAAACTCCAACACCAGCACCAAGTTCACACACGTTATTCTTCCACTCCTCAAGGTTATTATGAGCAGAACTGTGAGACAAATGAGATTGTGTTTGGTGCAGTTCAAGAGCATGATGGAAGACGTGAAGCCATGGTGATAAAGGCTGTGGATTACGGGGATCCAAAGTTCTGTCACCACAATATTCGCCCCAGATTGAACTATGTTGGTTATTCCCATGGTTATTGAATATTGGCGATGATTTCATAGCATCAAAGTGATAGAACTCATGGACTTTTCTAAGAATATGAAGAGATAGTGGTGCTCTTGCTTCATTTTCTCTGCATAGACAAGTCACACTAGTCTTGAAATCACAAAAAAATCACAAGGCAGAGAACCAGAGAAAGAGAGAGAGAAACAGGACACATAGTCCTGATAAGTTTCTTGCCGGTGAATGCTGTAAATGAACTGAGTACTAAGTGTTAGGTAAACCTTAAATGTACGTGGTTGAAAGGTAACGATTATAGAGGTAGTAGTTGACAGGTAGTAGTTATATTGAATGTATGTAGTTGAGAGACAGTGATTGTATTGAATATATGTAGTTGAAAGGTAGTAATTATATTAAATGTATCTAGTTGAGAGGCCATATTTAAAGACATATAAATTGAACATGTATCACTCATTGCAAATACATCAAGTGATAATATACAGAGTGTTTTATTTAGATACTTGTTTGTCAACAAATTGACATCAGAGTTTGAGAGCTTAAGTGTCTGAATGCGTTAGAGAGAGTGTTTGAGAGTTAGAGAGTTTGTTCGATATGACCAACTTAGCTAACAGCATGCCCCTGCCAAAGTTATCAAAAGGCGTAAACTATGATAACTGGAGCTTGCAAATGAAGGCTCTCCTTGGATCCCAAGAAGTATGGGATGTGGTCGAAAATGGGCGCAAAAAACCAGAGAATATTGAAGAGCATACGATTGCTCAGCTTGCTGCATTGAGAGCAACATGAGTAAAGGACAAAACGGCTTTATACGTATTGTACCGAGCTGTTGATGAGTCCGACTTTGAGAAGATAGCAAATGCTAAATTTTCAAAAGAAGCGTGGGATATTCTGGAGAAGGCAAATAAAGGGGATAATCGCGTGAAGCAAGTCAGGCTTCAAACTCTTAGAGGCGAGCTTGAAAGCATGAGGATGAAAGAGGTCGAAGGGGTTGCCGAGTACATCTCCCGTGTTGAGACCGTGGTGAATCAACTCGGAATAAATGGAGAGACGCTTGTTGGTATCTTGAAGGGTTATGTGTATATGTATTTCTGATATTTCATACGTATCTTTTATTCATGTACTCTATGTATATATAGAGTAAAAATATTACAAAATATTAAATATTCATAATATCTCAATCATAACAGCCTAAATCAGAATAATAACCTAATGTCTTTTTACCTTCTCTCTTAAAAGATAATAAAATCTCTTAATACCCAATTTAAATAAAAGATAATAAAGTAATATTCCCAACATTCCTCCTTACTTTAATATCTATTTATTTGAATTTGATATATTTTTTCCTCCTTTTTTGTTTATACTTCTTATTATCTTCTTTCTTGTATGAGATCACACCTTCATTCTTTACTTTCTTCATTAACATATTTCTTCCTTTATCAACTTCATCTCCTTTGTTTCTTTCAAACTTCATGGTAGTATTGTTGACTCTTTGATGGACGTTGAAAACGGTTTCTTCATCTATATCTTTATTTTCCTCCTTAACATCAAATTCCTTCAAGAAATATTCTTCATGCTTTTTCTTTGACTTTTCTTTTATATCTTCATTTGTAATCATCTCTTCTTTCATCAAATCTAAAGTGAAACTTTTTTCTTTCATGTGAACTTTGAATATTTCTAAGTTATTTGTATCTTTAATCACACAAAGTTTGTGTTCAAAAGACACCTTATAATTTTTTTCCAATAATTGAGCAACACTTAACAAATTATGATTTATATCAGGAACATATAAAACATCAATAATCAATTTGATACCCGAATGACTTTTAACTGCAATTGTTCTTGTACCTTTCACATTCATTTCTTCTCCATTACCAATTCTCACTTTAGAAATATGTGATTCGTTGAGCTCTTTGAAAAATTTTCGATCATGAGTCATGTGGTTTGTACAACCACTGTCTATTAACCAACCTGTGGATCTGTTGATTGTAGAGCATGTTGATGCAAGGAGAAGTACCTCTTCTTTTCTATCCTCTATAAATTGAACGACTTCCTCTGGTTGTGATTTGCATATCTTTTCTATATGTCCCAATTGACCACATTTGTGACATTTCACATCAGGTCTCCACCAACACTTGTTGGGTGTGTGATTATTTTTCTTGCAATAAGGACAAACAGAAAATACTCGTGATTTTGTACCTTTGTTGTTCTTGGCTTGGACAGAACCTCCATCATGATATAATAAAGAACCTTCATTAGCAGCATTATTTCCTCTCATCAATCTTCGTTGCTCTTGCGCTTCTAAAGCATGTAACACTTCTGCCAAAGTAATATTAGACAAATCTTTTGTGTTTTCCAATGAAACAATTGATGTTTCATATCTCTCTGGCACAGTTACCAGAATTTTTTCAACTATTCTAGAATCAGAAAATTCTTTGCCTAACAATTTTATTTTGTTAGCAATACCTAACAATTTGTTTGAGTATTCATTAATTGTTTGAGACTCTTGCATCTTTTGTATCTCAAATTCCCTTATCAAGTTTAGAACTTTCATACCTCGAATTTTCTCATCTCCTTCATATTGATCTTTCAAATAATCCCAAATTTCTTTGGGTGACTTTAGCGTCATGATTCTGGTGAGGATCATTTGTGAAACACCAGCAAACAGACATGATTTAGCTTTTGCATTTCTCATTTTTCTTTCTTTGTGAGATTTCATTTGAGCTATAGTGAGATTTTCAGGTAGTGGATCAACAATATAATCTTCTTCTACAGCTTCCCATACATCCAATCCTTCAAGATAGGATTGCATTCTCACAGCCCATAAGTCATAACTTTCGCCACCAAAAACTGGAATAGCGACTTGTGAAAAGTTTATTTCTCCTTCCATTGTGTCGAACCAAAGCTCTGATACCAATTGTTGGTATCTTGAAGGGTTATGTGTATATGTATTTCTGATATTTCATATGTATCTTTTATTCATGTACTCTATGTATATATAGAGTAAAAATATTACAAAATATTAAATATTCATAATATCTCAATCATAACAGCCTAAATCAGAATAATAACCTAATATCTTTTTACCTTCTCTCTTAAAAGATAATAAAATTTCTTAATATCCAATTTAAATAAAAGATAATAAAGTAATATTCCCAACAATGCTACCCTCTTGCCGAGTGTTGGAGAAAATCTTAAGATCGTTTAACGACTTTGAGAATATCATTTGTGCAATAGAAGAGTACAAGGTTTACAAAATCCTCCCATAAATTTAAATACGGATCATATACACAAAATTTGGCCGCTCCTTTTTGTTTTCATGTTTGATCAAATAGGAATTCAGTACCTTCCTTTAAGTGGGTCATCTTCCCTCTTTTCACATTTCTTCTATTATTAGAAACCCCAACTCGACAATGTTTAGAGCCTTCGATCGAATCACATTTACAATAAAAAGAGAGATTTTTGTTAGGGATTGAATCGAAGAAGGGGGCTAGAGTTCAAAAATGAAATCACAATTGGAGAGATTATCTCAAGAAGGAGCAAAATAAGAACATAAATAAAAGTACTTTATGAAACTAGGAATTAAAAGATGGAGACATTGAGAATAAACATGGAAAACCAAAAACAAAGAGACATGAAGACTAGTCCCATGATGGATGGAACACCAACTCATCATATCGTACCATACATAATTGAATTCTAACTACATATCATTACTTTCGGATTTGGCATGCGGGTTCATATTATTGGGTGTTTTATTATGCCAACTATACAATACTAATATATATCCCTAATCATTCATCAATTAATTCATTAGCGTTATTTATTATTATTATTAAACTAGAATATGCCGGACAATTAAACTTCTAATTTATACAAGAATCTCACTAATTCTCTAAAAAAATAGAAAATAATATACTATAAAAAATTTAATTTTTTAAATCAATATATTAGTCCATCAAGAGATTATAAGTCTGATAAATAAATTTGTTGGAGATGAAAATCACGTAATCCTAAAAATCTCTTTCATAATTAAGAATTATTGCCGTAAATATTAGTTGAAAAATTAAGACATTTATTAAGATAATTATCATGATCCAAACTCACGTTAACTTAAAAAAAAACTAATAGTTTTAGATTATGACAAAAAATTTATTGAATTATAATTGAACATTTAACTAAAACATTTATAAGACATTGATTATGATCGAACAGCATAAATAATTTCTGAATACATCACTTTCATAGTTGTAAATATAAACAGAGATATAATAATTTTTTAAGATAACCATTTTATTAGTACAACACTTTCCATTCAATATTTTTTCATGTAAAATATTCAAGTTAGCAACCTTATTTAATGAGATTAAATTCAAATATTTAAATATCTAACTGTATACTACGTTGAAAAAGGTAAACTCAATCATAATCATAATAATTAATTAAATAATTTTTTCATAAAATATATTTTATACACTCACATATTATATATAGCTGAGTTGGTCGAATATATTGTGGATCTATAAAAGTATATAAAAAAATACTCGTTGATTACTATTGATCATCAATTATATCTATAATAAAAATTAAGCAATGAATGAACATAATAGAAACATACATGTCGTATATGAACTAAAAATAAAAAGAGGAATATCTTAACATCGAAGTTTATTTTGGACATTATAAAGTGACATTTTTGCATTCTTTCCACCAATCTTCATCTTTAGTGTTATACTATGTAATATTTGTTAAGGTTAATGTAAAATTAAAACAATATTCGTGATAATAAGAAAATTAAATTATACTTTATGTTGTTTTAATGAGTGTAAGATGCTCTTTTTATTTGTTAGAGATCAAATCATACATATGATACCCGTTAGTGGATTTATGTTTTGTTATGTTTACAAATCTTATATTATTTAGGAATTAAGATTAACGATAGTTTAAATACACATTTTATCTGAATCTATCAATACGTCTTTTGAGTATAAAATCGTGACGGACGAAAACTTTATAACAGACCATA